TAAGGATATGAGAATATAACAATATAACAATACAAGAATACAAGAATACAAGAATACAAGAATACAAGAATACAAGAATACAAGAATATAAGAATATATGAATATAAGAATATAACAATATAGCAATATAACAATATAAAATATAACCTTATAACAATATAATAACATATATAATACTTTATTCTATTACACGAGAATATGAAAATATTTATAGTGCATTTATTATTTCAAAAATCTATTTTTCCCGCTTCCTGGATACCAGGCGGTCAAAGGTTATCCGGAGATACGATTATCGACATGATTAATTCGCAGTTGCCAGTTGCCGATGTCGCCCGGAGCGATCTGGCGACTCATCGTGATTTTCTAACAGCGGATCGATGTATATCGATCCCCCAACTTTCCCTTCTCACGACTATCCGCTGTCTGCTGGCAGCAGCTCGAGATCGCCGGGTTGTCCCGATGTCCCCGATACCCGAACGAGCCACGACGATCGTTTCGATGGTTGGTTTTCTGGTCCAAGAGGAGCCCACGGCCTCTTCTGTTTCGTCGTGGCGACTTTGTCGTGCCGTGAGAACCGGCGGCCTAGCCACGCTCGAGTTTTACAGCTGTCGGGCTTCCGTTCGCGGGAAGAACGACGGGACCCGCGCGAATTGGCCACGCGTTCCACAAGATTGTTATTCAGGCGTTATGCTAATGACAACGCAACGAGCCGGGGATACCGTTACCGAATCTATCAATCTGGTCCGCCAGGCGTGCTGACACGGCCAGGAATCGCGTGAATTTGGTGGACGGATTGTTTAACCGTTTGCACTCGAAGCCATTTTAACTCTGAATGAAAAATCAAATACTAGTGATTTTGCAAATCAAATTTTGAATCGAATTATGTAAAAATTAATTTTCCAACTTCTATTTTTGTGATAAAATTATCTACATAATATTATATCTAAAATTATCTATATTAATTAAATGTATTTTTATAAAGGTCTCAATGTCTAGTAGCATGGCAGTCAGAAACAAGCTTGAACTATGTTGGCCTAGCTAAAGCATTAATATCTAAAAAAGTTCTATATATTAAATATTAATTATATAATAGTATCTCATGGTTTTAAGTATTTTAGAGATCTGCAAATTAACTACCGTTTGGAGGATAATTTAATCTACGTTTCCGATTTGACAAAACGTTTAAAAACGTCGCACGAGACGTTCACCTAAATTAGAAGTCGTGTTTGTATCGCGATCGAGACTCCCAAGCCTCTTGAATTATGTTGTCCCAGCCAAAGTACGGTATAATGACCTACAGTCCCGAGCATTACTATTGGCAGCGTTCAGAGGTTAGGTACTTGTCGAGTTGTTGTTTCTGCTGCCACGTCCAACGGCGCCACGTTCACCTAACACAGGAGTCATCTTTGCATACCAATCAAGACTCTTGAACTGTACTGACCTAGTACGGTATAGTGATCCTCAGTCCTGAGTACACTATTGGAAGCATTAGAAGATCTGCAAATTATACAATGCTTTCAATCTATGCTTTCAGTCTTTGTGTTTTCAACGTGGCGGAATTTTTAAGAACGTCCCAAGAGGTATCTGACAATCCTCGACTTAGAGGTTAAGTGCTTATTGAGTTGTTGTTTCTGCTACCTCGTCCAACGGTGCCACGTTCACCTTAACTTAGGCAGTCGTCTTTGCATGGCAATTAAGAACAACCTGGAACTATGTTGACTTAGTTGGAGCATGGTATAGTGTTCTATCGCCTCGGGTATACTAGTGGGGACATTTATAAGATCTGCAAACTGTCCAAACTTTTAAAGACATTTCACGTATTTGTGAATGATGAATTGAAAGAAATAAAAGAAACATTTCTTTCAGGTCCTGCTGTGTCAATATCTCATCAAATCTGGCGTGCTGTTAGTGTCTAGCTTGTCAATATCTAGCAAACCTTGCCTGAGGAATCTATAAAAATGATTAAGAACAGAATATACACAATTTAGCGATCCACCAAGTAACAGTGGGAAAGGTAGCCACCTACCGGCGAATATAGGAATTAGCCCGCACAGATGGCATCTATGGACTCCATGAATCTAACCTGACAGAATATTCAGGGAGATTGCAACTGAACATTTTATAGTCCAAGATTTTGCGCGCACTATTACGTGCACAGCGCGAACTCTAATTAGAGGACAGGTACTTATTAAGTTATTGTTTCTGTCATAACCTACAACCGCGCCATGTTCATCTAAATTGAGTGCCGTCTTCGAACAAACAGAAGGCATTTTCCGAGCTCTGTTTGCTCTCGACTGGTGGGTCCACTTGACACCAATACGGCCAGGAGAAAGAGTTCGGTTACCGTTCGTTTTATGAACGAAGCAGCACGGGATCCTTCGTTTTATGATGTATTACCTTGTCAGCACGGCGACAGGCTATTCCCGTAATTTATATCTATACCTTGACAAAGTGCATCGGTTCATTCCGTGCCATAAATAATCGGACGCGCGCGGATAATCGTCGTCCATGTCCTCCATGGCTAGCGGACGTCACGCGCGATGGGAAACTCGCTAACCAGTTCTAATGCGGGTCTACCGTGCCTCTTTCGCAGTTTATTGCTAATTTATCCTATTCTCGGTTGTGTACCGGCTGTGAGTAACTCTCGCACGTCCTGCATAATTAATTGGACCGTCCTTTTTTTATTGCTCGCGTCTTCTTGGAACTACGGTAATTGGATGGCGAATTTGACGCGGTTGTGGCAAAAGCCAGCGGACGAAGCGTGAAACTGTAAAGACGTTAGACGAATTTAAAGAAACGATGAAATTAGATCTAGATGATTAGAATTATTAACTAGAACAGGGTAGAAAAATCCTTTGTTACAGAAGAAGTGATAACAAATGGTGGGACTTTATACGGGGGGTAATTTGAAGCAACTTTTTCCTTTACGAAAATGTTCTCCGCGGCTCCGTTTACGAGTTATTAACGAAAAACGCTTACCCATGTGAGGTCGCGTACCGTCTGACGCCTCGCCCTCGCGAACACTGCCGCTGCGTCAGACTGCCCGCGCGACGCGACATTGGCCGCTGGGGCGGAGCGATGGCCGCACTCGCTCTCCGATTGGTCCGCGTTTATCGTTAATAACTCGTAAACGAAGTCGCGGAGAACATTTTCATAAAGGAAAAAGTTGCTTCAAATGACCTCAGGAACCCTCTCATTTCCCGATGTTGAATAACTTATATACACTATAACTATATAACTATATGTAATACATATATTGATGATGAGACTGAGGAACAGTCTATCGATGATCAGACTGAGAATCTTCGTATAAAATAAAAATCGTTCGTATTCGTAACCTAAGAAACATAAATTAGGTTCCTCTTCTAATAATTGAAATCAGTAGAAAATAATGCGACGATGCCCTTACATTCGGCGGATCTTATTGAATTAAAAATGAAATGGAGACTGGTATTGTTTAATGATTTATGTTAATTTTCCAGGAGATCCCGCGTGGGCACAAGAGTGGCCGACGCCTCTCGACGAATCTGCAGACGAGAAGAACGATGTGGTGATCTTCCGTTCGGTCGTCGAGTCGATGAAAGAGTGGACGTTGCACAAGATATTGAGCCGCAGGACGAAGAGGGACGTCTCGAAGGTCTGCTACGAGGATGTCGGCTGCTTCGAGGACACCGGGCCCTTCAGCTACTTGGAGATGCTGCCATCACCGCCCAAAGATGTCGGCACTAGGTATCTAGATATATAATTTTCATAGACAGGAAATTATATTATGATGTAATACGTATAATATAATTTGATTCATGTATTATATTTGTATTATACGTATATAATGTATAATAAAAATATATGTATAATATAATTCATATATTATAGTATATTTGTATAATATAATTCATATACTACAATACGTTTGTGCAATATAATATAATTATTATTATATTGTAATATAATATATTATGATATATTTGTATCATATAATATAATTTATATATCACAATATATTTGTGTAATATAATATAATATAATTCATATACTATATTTGTACACAACATAGCGTGATATAATATTATTCATATATTATAATATATTTGTACAATACAATATAATATAATTGCACAAGCTATAATGCATTCCTATAATACAATATAGTATTGTTAAGATATTATAATGCATTCATATAATACTATATTATTATATAATCCACGTACTATAATACATTCGCATAAGAACTGTAACAGTAATAAAACTTTCGACTAAAGTACTCAAAATGTTCAAACACTTAGGCATTGTACGCAACGTAAGTACAATATTTTCGACATGAGAATAACTGAGCCACTATAGTGGATCGTTGATAGTCGCTATAATGGCTCTATTTTTCCTAAGAGGTTACTAAATAGAATACAATAAAAATTCGAAGAATAACAAAATGTCTAATGAACGTTGTGATGATAATGATGATAACGAACATTGTAATGTGTGCGTTAGGTTTCTAGTGTACGGAAGCAGGAAGGCGAGATCGATACCGATGGAGGTTCCTGCCGACGACATAAACGACAACGCGCACCGTGCCATAGATCCGGATCTACCTACCAAGGTGATCGTCCACGGATTCGGATCCAGCTGCGATCATGTTTGGGTGTACGAGATGAGGTCCGCGCTGATGACCGTGCACGAATGCAATATAGGTTTGTAAATACAGGGGGTCTTATAATTATGTTAACACCCGGGAAGGGGTGATTCCTGATGTTATTTGAAGCAACTTTTTCCTTAGTGAAAATGCAATCCGCGGCTTTGCTCACGAGTTATTAACGAAAAACGCCGACGCCCCGCCCTCTCTCTCCGATTGGTCAGTGTCTTTTGTCAATAACTCGTAAACGAAGCCGCGGATTCCATTTCCGCTAAGGAGAAAGTTGCTTCAAATGACTTCAGGTATCATCTCTTTTCGAGTGTTAACATAATTATGAGACACCCTGTAGAACCTCCGTTTCGATTTTTTAAGCGCAATCTGTTAACTATTCGAAGAACCTAGCAATTGAATACCTTGAATTATTTGAAGCAACTTTTTCCTTAGTGAAAATGCAATCCGCGGCTTTGCTCACGAGTTATTAACGAAAAACGCCGACGCCCCGCCCTCTCTCTCCGATTGGTCAGTGTCTTTTGTCAATAACTCGTAAACGAAGCCGCGGATTCCATTTCCGCTAAGGAGAAAGTTGCTTCAAATGACTTCAGGTATCATCTCTTTTCGAGTGTTAACATAATTATGAGACACCCTGTAGAACCTCCGTTTCGATTTTTTAAGCGCAATCTGTTAACTATTCGAAGAACCTAGCAATTGAATACCTTGAATTCTTCTCTATGGTATCAATGGTCGAATTGCGTGACAATAATTTATGTTGTAATTTTATATGCAGTGTGTTCAATAATTAACCGACGCTTTAAGAAATTCATATCTTCCGGTCAAGAGTTTTTGGTAAAATTTTCGGTTATAAGGTATCGTAGCGAAGGTGATTTAATTGATTAGGTCTCGCAGAACCTGTGCAGAATGACCTTCGATTGACCTCAAACCTCAAAACCGGTACAGGATAACATTTAAAATTGACCTCGTGTCTGGAAACCTGTACCGGATGACATTTAATTGACCTTGTATCTCAAGGCCAATATTTCTGAACAAAATGCTGCGAACTCTAGACAAGGTCAACTGAAGGCCAGGGTGTATCACAGGGCGACAAAATAAGCGTTGCTTCAAAGAATTTAAAAAAAAAATCAATAAAATCATCTTAGGTAATCGTTTTTACAAACTCACTCTGTATTTATTTAAATATAATTTGTTTCAAATGGGTGACGATTAGACCGCGAATCTCTGAACAAATTTGCACAATCGTAACTCAATTTTATAAAGACTACAACGAAAAAAAATTTCCTGTTTAAAAGATTTCGTACGATGAAAGTAAAATCAAAATGTTAATATAATTTTTATCGACACGCACGATTTCTTGCATTTTGCAAATTTGCGCAAAAATTGCATAAAGCGTTAAAATACCATAAACCCGTGATTACGCCATATCCGTTTCCAGTGTGCGTCGATTGGGGTCCAGGAAGCGCAGTTCCTAACTACGTAAGAGCAGCTGCCAACACTCGGCTGGTTGGCAGACAGCTAGCGAAACTAATTAGAAGCCTGAACGTGCCTTTGGAGAAGGTCCATCTGATTGGTTTCAGTCTCGGTGCCCATGTGGCTGGCTTCGCTGGCGCCGAATTGGGCAACGTGTCCAGGATCACAGGTAACGTATCCACCAAAGGGTATAACTGGATAAAATGGTGAAATGTGCCACATAAACAAATTGATTTTTCTTTTGACAATTCGACGGCCAGTGAAAGGACACCATCTGAGTCAATTTTGTTCAAGTTGCTATCCCTACCGCAGGGGTAGTTACTGCGTCTAATGCCCCACTTTTTTTACTTTACCTTTTCTTCCTCGTTTTCTTTCTTTTTTCCTTCTCTTTCACTTTTTCCTTCTTTTTCTTTTCTATATCTTTCTCCTTCTTTTTCCCTCTTCTTTTATTATTCCTCTTTTTCCTTTTGAGAAAAATCGGATTGACAGATTATGCTCTATATCTTCTGTTCTACTCGACAGAAAATTATGAAAAAAATCACGAATCTTCTACCTAACGGGGCACAAGTCACTGAATTTTTTTAGAATTTTTCGTAGCAGAATAAATTTTTTTTTTTAAAGAAAAATCTCCATCGTCAACCAAAGGATTACTGTATCAATATTTTTTAAATTGTTGATTTTGTCAATACAAAATAGTTAAGAAAGGTAATTTCCGTCAGTAATTAAAGCATTACTCAATCTAAAAATAAAATAAAAATGCTAGTATACCTTGTTGATTGAAAATGAAATTTGTGAGTAATTTTAAGCTAATCTGTTTCCTTGATCTGTCCACTCTCAAAAATTCCAGCTACTAATTTCTCAATCATTCTCTTAATGTCAATAATTATCGGACGGATAATGAATAAATATGTGTCAAGAGATATTTTTCTTCCATAGCCTCGTTTTTCGTACGGTAATGTATGTATACAAAAAACCCAGAATAAATCTTTAAAAAGAAAACACTATAAATATGCACGAATGTCGATCGGGTTTGATCAACGGGTAGAGAATATTTCCAACGGAGTTGCAAAATCGACGACGACTGTGCAGCCCCGTCGTCCTTCGTGAAGTAAAAGGCGATTTCATTTCATCCTGACAACGCTGTGGGAACAGCCGTTGGCGGTAAAGTGTATCAAACGATCACGCGGTAGCAATGAAGAACGGGGTTAATCGTCTGCGCAGAAAGGAACGATCGTGAAACCTACTCGAGCCCTCCGTGGTATCTTAATTATTCAAATGGACCGCGACGATCGCAGGGAAAGGTAGGGAGTTGCTCGATGATTAGCGATTGGTCCACGGCCGGGGCACATTCACTGGGAATCGTAACGAGGACTTCCACAAAGCCGATTAGTTATATTTTCTTCGATGGCCGTGCGTCAACGACTCTCGGTTATTTTGTCTTAGCAATTAATATTGACAATTGATACTAATTAATATTAGTAATATTACTATCAACTTAACTGATATTAATTAATATTAACTAATATAATGATATTAATATTAATTAATTAGAATATTAACTATTAATATTAATAATATTAATATTGACTAATAATTTACAATTAATATTGTGCCGTCGATGCACAAGGTGAATTAATATTTGCTAAAACCAGATGCTAGACTTTGGGCACATTGTAATGCACGGTTAAATTTACATGGTCAAGAGCGAGACGAAGTTTGCAACATTAAAAAACGGATATTGATTTGATTCATATTACATAAAATTCATCCCTGCTTCTGTTGCAAATCACTGTACAAATGTACTTGAACGAAACTCTTTTGAAAATTGTACCGATGGTATAGTTATGTTGCCTAGTATATTTTACTTTCAGTAATTCTCATCAGACCGTTATAGTTACAGCATCAATGAACAGATGAGATTCTCCTGATTGGAACGAGTCCAAACACGATGTAAATCGGATTAGTCCGAGGCACTTTCAATCAATATGCAGTCTACAGGGTGAGCCGCATAACTCGCACACCTTAAATAACTTCTAAATAATGCCATGTACGTTAAATGCATCGTTTCAAAGGTGAGCAGAGGTTCACGCATGTAGAAAATTTTCCATGATTTCAAGATTGACTAATTTCGAGCTATCTGAGGCATGCGGGTTATATTACTCACCCAGTATATAGCTCTTCGATGAACGTAGTCCGATTTCCGTCGTGTTTAGACTCATTTGAATCGGAAGAATCTCGGCTGTACATTGGTGCTACAATTATCAAAGGTAGGATGACGTTCGAATTAGAAATCGGCTTAGATGCAACGGTGTCGTAATTTCATACACAAAAGTAAGACAATGTTAACGTCACGCAGTGCATCGGCGCTATCTTGCTATTGGCAACGAAATTGTGCAAGCGACCGGTGGCTCGGAAACTTCTACTTTTTCCGTTTGCCACGCTCCGTTGGTCTTCGGGCGTGTGTGTACCCGAGATCGACAACGAGCTATTTTCACTGGCGAGGTTTCCGCAGGTCGACGCATTCGTACGTTCAGCGCGCCTGGAAAAAGAAAAGCGAGCGTGATCGCGCGGGCGTCCGGTTCGCCTTGATCAATTTTCATTTTTCATCACAGATGCTTGGACATTCTCTTTCACCGATGACCAAAACTAAGCCAATGTTCTATGACAATCTCCCAACTAGCTTGAACGAGCATTCAACCCTTTCACGAATAAGAACGAGCTAGTTGAACATATCAACGCGTAACCTATTGAACATTAATATTATTAATTTCTTTGAAACTGAAACGGCTTCTTCTGTCATCAAAATCTAGGAATTATTATTATTTTATTAATTGAGCATGCTAAATTACTCTTTAAATTAAAGAATGTACAAAAATAAAAGGAGATGTTAATAAAGAAGAAACCAGAAAAATTTTCTACTGGGGAAGTTATTTAAGACAAAGAGACTAAGTCAATGTAGATGTGACGAAAATAGAAACTGATCCTTGATTCCTATATTTTGAAATTTTATGTAGATTTGTGATATGTGACGTAATAAATCTCACATGGATTTTCAATGATCATAAATAGAGCATGAAAATAAAAATCGAAGGGGTTGAAATGCATTTACGGTAACATAGAATGAGATTAGGCTAGTAAAAGTGATGCCTGATTTTGCAGGACTGGACCCAGCAGGACCCCTGTTCGAGTCGCAGGATCCGAGGGCCAGACTCGACGAATCCGACGCCAACTTCGTCGACGTGATACACAGCAATGGCGAGCAGTTGCTGTTAGGTGGTCTAGGCTCGTGGCAACCTATGGGCGACGTGGACTTCTACCCCAATGGCGGCAGAATGCAAACCGGGTGCTCGAATCTGTTCTTGGGCGCTGTGTCCGACATCATTTGGTGTGAGTACTTAACACGCCACTTTTATCCACGTCAATTCCTGTAGCAAGAAGTTCTGAAAATGTCACTGAGCTCGTTAATAGAGAAATTGCAAATGAATGAATTTAAATAAATACGTAAGATAAGACAAATTACCTGCACCGGTTCTTGCAGACGGAGCACAGTTGGATATAGTAGTTCCAGTTCTAAATACGAAATATCAGGAAATATTTTTAGGGGGTGTAGAATTCGATACCGATGTTCGTTCACATATTTCGAGGACACCCTGTAGAATTGTTGATTATTTGCTTGCAAATAATTAAAGGCAGAGTTTTTTAGGTAAAAGTATATTTATTGAACACACAAGATCTAATCTACAGGTTGCTCGTAAGAGCTTAGAGACAACGAGTGTACTCGTAAGCTGCTCACCGACGACTGACTAAAAACGCGGAAGACCTGCAAACTGTGTGTCGAAAAATCCTTGGTGGTCATAAATAACCAATCTGTGTAACGGACTTTCGAGTCAACGCACGTTTAGCGCTCAAGTGCCCTACAGATGGGCAGCAAGGGCCGTTTTACCTAAAAAAACGGACAAGGCCGTAAAACATACAAATTACCCATTTTCGATAGCATCGAAAATGCCATACATTTACAAGAATATATCATCTCGTCCGGGAGCGAATATGCTCGTCCCACGGTCATCGTTCATTTCCGACGTAAACAGTTCCTGAGCCGAACGATTAGAAAGCCCGCCGCAAGTTTTTCACGCGTGGGGTAATGTTACCTTGTCCGCAACGTGGATCGAATTCTTTGACCGAAAGAAAGCGGGTCACCCGTGTGTCCAGCTGCGAGCTAGCAAAATCCTATCCAGCCTAGCCTAATTCGTAAGTGGTCGCCACTCTGTTAAGAGCAGAGCGACAATCCATAATCCTCCATTTAGAGGTTAGGTGCTTATACAGTTGCTTCTGCTACCGCAGTTCAGCAGTGCCACGTTTACCAAAATTGGGAGTCGTCTTTGCACAGCCAATCAAGAGCAAGATTGTACTATGTTGACCTAACTTATAGTGTTCTACGAACCAGAGCGTACTGTTAGCAGCATTTAGAAGTCTTTGGCAATGAAGCGCGAGTCTATCAAGTCTTACGAGTCCTCGGTATATTAGTAGTAACAGTTAGGAGCTCTACAGACCATCCAAAGGTTTAAAGATGCGTGGCGGTTCTGTGAACGATGAAGAATTGTGGAAAATACGGTGGTCGTTTCGTTCAGGGCCTAGTAGGGCATTGGTATTTAGTAGACTCTGTCCTAAGGGATGTTGCGAGGTCAATTGAAAACAAATTTGTAAAATATGTACGCAAATCGGCGACGGATCAGGTAGTATCGGGGAGGTAGCCACCTGGTGGCGGGTGGAGGAGGTAGAAGGCCAAGCAACAGCGAGCGAAATCTCGATGTACACAGGACTTTGAAATAACTATCATCGTTAGAATGTGGATTTATATATAATAATTATATATAATAATTATATATAATAATTATATATAATTATTGCGGAAAATCGAAGTTAAAAACAAATAAATTATTTCTTCGAATAATTCTGATAAGTTGAAAATGGTGTGGCAATGTTATTACATTGTTCTTATGTTTCCACGATTTTATATTTTAGCTATAATATAATATAAATTAATATATAATATAGTTATAATAGTAATAATAATAATATTATTATTATTAATTATTATTATAATATTATTATTATTAATTATTATAATAATATTATTATTAATTATTATTATAATATATTATTATATTATTATTATTATTATTATTTATTATTATTATTACTATTATAACTATATTATATATATTAATTAATATTATATTATAGCTAAAATATAAAATCGTGAAAACATAAGAACAATGTAATAACATTGCCACACCATTTTCAACTTATCAGAATTATTCGAAGAAATAATTTATTTGTTTTTAACTTCGATTTTCCGCAATAATTATATATAATTATTATATATAATTATTATATATAATTATTATATATAAATCCACATTCTAACGATGATAGTTATTTCAAAGTCCTGTGTACATCGAGATTTCGCTCGCTGTTGCTTGGCCTTCTACCTCCTCCACCCGCCACCAGGTGGCTACCTCCCCGATACTACCTGATCCGTCGCCGATTTGCGTACATATTTTACAAATTTGTTTTCAATTGACCTCGCAACATCCCTTAGGACAGAGTCTACTAAATACCAATGCCCTACTAGGCCCTGAACGAAACGACCACCGTATTTTCCACAATTCTTCATCGTTCACAGAACCGCCACGCATCTTTAAACCTTTGGATGGTCTGTAGAGCTCCTAACTGTTACTACTAATATACCGAGGACTCGTAAGACTTGATAGACTCGCGCTTCATTGCCAAAGACTTCTAAATGCTGCTAACAGTACGCTCTGGTTCGTAGAACACTATAAGTTAGGTCAACATAGTACAATCTTGCTCTTGATTGGCTGTGCAAAGACGACTCCCAATTTTGGTAAACGTGGCACTGCTGAACTGCGGTAGCAGAAGNATTATTATAATATTATTATTATTAATTATTATTATAATATTATTATTATTAATTATTATAATAATATTATTATTAATTATTATTATAATATATTATTATATTATTATTATTATTATTATTTATTATTATTATTACTATTATAACTATATTATATATATTAATTAATATTATATTATAGCTAAAATATAAAATCGTGAAAACATAAGAACAATGTAATAACATTGCCACACCATTTTCAACTTATCAGAATTATTCGAAGAAATAATTTATTTGTCTTTAACTTCGATTTTTCCGCAATAACCTTGGAAAATTTTTATTCCGTATAAAAATCCACAGTCTGATGATCCTAGACACTTCCGAGTTCGGTAAGTCACAAATTTGACAAAAATTTGACTGATTTTCAGCGAGCGCGGTGGAAGGTAGATCCCTCTGCAACCACAGAAGGGCCTACAAGCTGTTCACCGACTCGGTCAGCCCTAAGTGCCGATTCCCAGCGTTCCCCTGCGAGCGTGGCTACGACGGTCTGGTGAAAGGCGAGTGCTTCCCCTGCGGGATGAACGGGATGGGCAGACCATGCGGCGACATGGGCTACTACAGCGACGAGTCCCCCGCCAGGGGGCAGCTCTACCTTGTCACGAGAGAAGAAGAACCATTCTGCGCGCACCAGTATCAGGTCAAAGTCTACAACAGCCACAGCGAACGACCCACCAGAACCTACGGCAAGCTGCAGGTCACTATGGTCGGCGACGGTTCCTTCAACGACAGCTTCGCGATGACCAGGAACGACGAGGAGCTACTGGTCGGGGCTGTTCTGCAGAAGATCATCGTACCGCACCCTGCAATCTCCACTCTGGAGGCTATCGAAGTAAGATCTTGCGAAGGCTTGTTTACCTAACCATTCTAAAGTTCTTTGAAAGCCTTCACAATGTGAGAAAAATTACTGTACCTCGTAGACTAAACTAGTCTTAGCTTCAGCGACCACAAACGCAAAGTCCTTGCGATTAATTGGGCAAGCAATAAACACGGCTTCTAACGGCTTTCCAGATCAAGTACACGGCGTACAGCGGCTGGATCTCCTCCGGCCTGGTGTCCTGGAGCATCGACAAGGTAGCCATCATCGACAGTTTCGGGAAGACGTTGTCGATCTGCAGGAAAGGCTTGAGCCTGGAGTCGGGCAAGCCGGTGTTCCTGCCTCTGTTCTCCGGCGAGTGCAACGTGCCCACGGAGCCAGAGAACTCGACGTCCCCGATCCTCGAGCGGCTTCTCCAGGAGAAGCAAGGCGGCGGGATCGGTCCGTTCACGAAGGAGCAGAACTACGAGCCCGTGGAAGCCCTGTCAAAGGAAAAAACGTCTTCGTCGACGTCGAAGGGCTTGGGCCCGTTCACGAAGGACCAAAACATCCGGATAGTGGAGAGGAAGGAGACCTTCAAGGCGAACAGCTTCGAGGACCCGACGAACCGTCGCAGCGCGAATCCTTGGAATATCGCGGACATATCCAGCGACGGGGACTCGAATTCGCTGGAGAACTCGGACTCCGAGCGGGGGAGAGGATTCTCGGGACCGAACTTCTTCCAGAGGGCCCCGTCCTCCGACTCCTCGTCTCTGGACTCTTCGACGGAATTCTTGCCAGAGATCCGGGAGCCGGTGCTCAGGGTAAGCAAGAAGGAGACCGGCAGGTCTCTGAAGCTGCCGGAGATCACGGAGCCTATTCTGAGACCGCGGTCTGCGAGGCAGAACACCAGAAACGAGGTCCATGCTCGGGAGCAGCAAAAAGACGAGATACAAGAGACCTCGTCGACCACGAGGTCCTTCACCGTGCAGTTCCTGCCGGAGAGGCTAGCTGGCATCTTGGCCCAGGCTGAGAGGTACGCGAGACAGACTCTGCTGCCTCTGATCTCCCAGTACACTCCCAGCTTCGTGACCGGGTCGCGCTACGAGGAGCCCAAGTACTTCCCTCCTCTGGGAGATATTGCCTCGGAGGAGAGCAAGGAGTCTGAAGAGGCGCAGCTCGACCAGGAGAACGAAAGCAGCAAATTAGAAACTGTCTCGGAGTCTCTGCCAGTTCTGTCTAGTGAGAAGATCTTTGACATCGCGTCGGTAGAGGTGCCAGCAGTGGTAGAGGCGGTCCATCCCGAGAGGACAAGCTCGAATGCGACGGACTCCGAGGCTGCGACAGACCAATGGACGCCTATCAGTCCCTCCTCGAACGTGAACACGGTCTCGGCCCAGTCTCGCAGGGAATTCAACGTGTCCAGATCTCTGAACTGGGAGAACGCTACCTACAGCTGGTCCATCGACTCTGACGACAGCTCCGAGAACAGTAGCTTCAAGTCTGGAGACGATTGGGTGCCTATGACGGCAATGGCCGATGTCAAGGATTCAACCGAGAGTCCCCGCAACGTCTCCAACGAGCTTCCTCGGGCGAGCACCGTGTCCAAGGTAGAAACAATCCATGTGTCCGAACCTGTCAGAGAGTCCGAAAGTGTATCGAACGAAGCCGAGAAGGAGACTAAGTACATTCCTCTCATTGAACCGGAAGTCAAGGAGTCCTCGACGACCTCTAATGACCCAACGGAGCCTCGCACCACCACGCCGGCGCAGTCAAATATTCAGAGGATCCCCAGGCCTCAGGAACCCAGGACCGAGGTCAGAACCTCCACCAGGAGGAGCATGGTGTTCCCCTACGCGTACGAGAGGAAGAAGGACCCAAGGACTAGATACATACCTCTGATCCCCGAAGAGGACCTCGGCAGGCCGCGCTATACCGTCGAGAGGGAACGTTGAGGCTACCGGAGTTCTGAATCTTTGGAACCTACTCGTTGAATTCTATGTTGATGTTTCGAATTGTGCGTTTGTGTTTGAAATTGTGCGTTGGAAATTCCGGAATTGTCCGCTCTTGCTACGAATTGGAACTTCGTTGACCGCAGCTTCCAAGCTGTTAAACTGGGCGAGACGACTCTGTGATCTTGTTTTTTTTTTACCTCATCGGCCCTCTGAAGACGTTACTGGAACGTTGTAGACGATCCGGCCTAATCCGAACTATTATTTATTAAATTATCATCGTACTTCTTCCAGCGATCGTCACCGGAAGCCGGAAAGTTTGATGAAGCGTCGAAGGGTCGAATGCAACCCAGGTACCGTCTTCCGAGGACCGACCAGTGCTCTCGCAAGTTCTGTTTGATTCGAATGCGGTTTATTTATTGCGTTTATAAATTCGGAAATGTTGTTGCGTTTGAGAAGTCTAGTGTTCTAGACTCTGATGTCTATGTTGTTGTTCGACAACGATGCTTTTTTGACTAACGATTTGTATTTTGTTAATTAAAGATGTCCTCTATACTGTGGATCGTGGTAACGTGTAATTGAATACCATCCGGGTGTAACGGCCCGAAGCACGTTTAGGTGAATAATGGATACTTGGGTTAGATCAGCTAACCTAAACGTCTTACTGTGGCTCTGTTGATTAAACTTCTGACTTTTTCACTATTACTACCTTCTTACACAGTATTTTATATTCTTTATGAAAACTAAAATTAGCGTTAACTATAACGTTAGTTCAGTTGAACCAAAATGTGCTGTGGATCGTTGTTCCAGGTTGGTAGTATATTCTAGTAGAACCTCGATAATCCGAGCTTGAGTGTGGCGACACAAACGTTTGGATAACGGTATAGTTAGTTATAGTGCCAGACTAAATATTGATTCATACAGTAAGTGGTGTTGCATATGTGTTGCTTTAAGTTTCGGATAATCTAGGTTCTGCTGTATTTAATCGTGATACGTCTCGTCAGAGGGCGTTGTGTGGCATTATCGAAGAAGCCTGCAAGGATGTTTGGTAAAAATTGGAGCCTTAACTTTATTTTTGTATATAGGAATTTTTTTACAATATATATATATATATATATAATATATATTTATAATATATAATATAATATATAGCTTCGCTGAAATCTTTCTCTTCTCGTTCGTTATATTAATTCTTAGCAATTAGAATTGTTATTATCCTCAGTACCATCGTCGTCTGTACACCCCTCCCCGGTCGCGTCTACGCTCTTTGTCTTTCCCTTTGTTTATTTAATGTCGAAACGGACGATCGTAGGAGCAATAACTCCCTTGTTCCTCTGTACATAGAACGACGCCCGGAAACAGTATTGTAGTGTCTTCGTTCGTTTCTCCTCGTAATAAATATGTACAGGTCGGGTGGTTGGCCGTCCATCGCGGGCCACATGGACGATAGTCCCGGAAAAGTATTGGAAGAGACGATTTAAGTGGATTCTCTAAATGTGTACCTACACGTTATACCTATTTTTACTTAAAATAAATAACCCTCTTGAAGAAGAAAAATGCGCCATCTCACGAGTCCGATGTACACTCATCCAATCGTCACACACACTCTTGCACGCACACACACTATACATTCCCTCCATTTCTCTCTCTCTCTCTCTCTCTCTCTCTCTCTCTCTCTCTCTCTCTCGGTTTCTCATGTCTCAGCCACTCTCGCACGAGCAACAAACTCCTTCAGGATATGCCCACTCCTGATATGTCCGCGACTATTAAAAATAAAACCCATTCGCAGTCCTTGCTTCTAGGTTTCTTCAGGTACCGATTGACGCGTCGAAGCAGAACGCATCGTTCCTGCCTCGTCGACTCGATGCAAAGGTAGAGGGCGCCCGCGGGCGGCCCAACTCAAATCGTCGTCATTGTACTGCTCGAAGTTTCCTCGGGAAGACTGTGCAGAGAAATCGCGGTGACGCGAGCCGAACTCGCTGGGACTTAATTCTATTACAAATGTACGAACGCGACTATACAATAAATACAAAACCTGTCCTATGTTTCAAAGAGACCGTTAGAGGTTAAGAGGACGGCGACAGCTTCAAGCTGCCACCAGAACCGACGAATTCATTTTAAGAACCTGTTGACACACCGACTGCTACGTTGGTCATTGACTTCGTCAATATTTTTGTTTATTATCGCCACTACTTGTTTCGAATGACTGGATTTTGTAGCTTTAATCCTCGAATAGCGGACCTTTTTGACAAGAATATAACTTGCTCAGGATCATTTATAATTTTATTTAGCAATTTTTTCAACATATATTTTAATGTACTTCTCCTAGACTCGTGAGAATTTGTATAGAACCTTCATGGAATTGTTGACAGTTTCAATTAATTGTCGGAAATTAGATAGACAAATAACGATACTTGAATTCTAGGTCCCAATTGACCCAAGTCTCGCCGTCCGAGTGTTAATCTACAAATTCTTAAGTATTTTAGTAAATATTGTATGTTACATTCTGAGAAAACCATTTCCAGGTTATCATCGTCAATCAACTTTAGCTATTCAGTTTCAATGTCCTCAACACTAGAATCACCAAGCCGTAAACGTGACTAAAGTATCTTGTTTTTATAATAACGAAACTTCCTACGATTTTTATTGTAACATATGCTTCAATGAAGAAATTCCTATAAAAATTTCCAACAAAAACATTTTTCTGATATCAGAAATTGTAAAAGAAAGAAATCAGAAATCAGTCACTCTGACTGGTTTGGTAGTTCATGTGTTAATTATACTTGAAGTTACGATGAGCTTTGGTGACGTGGCAGTCAATGTGTTGAACAGCCCAGACAGGTTGATATCGACCCAGCAATCCCTGGGTCGACCGGCAACACCCGAAACTGAACCGAACGAATAATAGAGAACCCGTGGCATTTATGCGAACGAACCTCGGCCAACGTAGTTGTACCGCTGCATCAACTCGACTAGAGCGAAACAAAAAAAGGAAAAACATGTTGGACTCTGGTCGACGGTGCATTCCGTTAGGCAAGGAAGAAGGGACTGCGAACTACAGTCGTTTCTCTCGCATCGTCCCTCAGCTTGGGAATGAAAAGGGACAATATGAGAAGAGGAAATATGTACTGTTAATCGAGTCTCGTTTTAATGGTCGCCGATCGTCAACGACTATGAAAACAAGCCGCGGGGCTCGAGCAATCGTATCTGGTCCTCCCATGTTGTCCATTTTCGTTTCCAAGCGGAGGGACAATGCGAGAGAAATTACTGCATCGGGGACTTACTACTTACATACATATTTAACAAACACGCAGTCTTATCAAGTAGAACCCGTGAACGAACTCTGACAAGTAAAAAGGTATAGTGGCCTATTATCCTAGTAGAAATTTGGTTCGACTCGTCCTGCAGCCGGGTCGACGAAACGATTCGCGCTGACCGGCCAAAGTGGTAGCTACCTAAAGCGTCCTCGGCGTCTTCCGCTACGACTGGGTACGGTATTCCGTCGGCCGTTGAACAAGAAGATAGATCACTTTGTATCCTCTAACTGTAGATCCCCGTTGCTGAGTCCTCTGTTCAGAGCAGCGTGGAATTTACAGCGAGAGGGCGCCTTTGTTACCGGACTCGGGACAAATAAAAATGGTCTCGCTAATTAAACAAGCAGAGATCGAAAGAAAATCGGAACCAGGAAGACGATTTTGGTGCTCGCGTCACCAGCTGCTTCGAGAATACCGTACCGAGGCTACACCGCGCAACTAGAAAGCAATGTGTCCTATGTGCTGTGTCTGTTCAGCTCGTCACTCCGAATGTGCACTAATTCTGCTTGGTAACTCAAGGTCGATCGTCCATGTTTTCGATATCAGAGACCGGAGATCGTGTTAGGGTCTAGAAGGAGCTAGAAGAAATATTATAGGATCCGTGAAGAAATTTGGGAACCCAGAAGAAGCGGTAAGACACGCTTTGAATTTTTAAGAAACCGAAAACTCTCGTCTGCAGAAATTGCAAGAGTCTGCAAAATTATTAGGATCCACGAAGACATCATAGAAAATAAAATGGAGGTGTTTGAAAGCTGAGAAAAATTGCGGAGCGTATCAAAGCAATAAGAAGATGAAAGAGTGCAAAAGTGTTTGTGGAGCATGGACACCATGCGGAGGTCACGTTTCAGCAAAATAGCGGCAGATGGCAGTCCGGTATAGACGTAGACATAACCTCCAGCGACCTTCAGCCAAGAGACCTCGAGCAACCAAAGGACACACGCGGTTTTCTTCGTCGTACAAATTGAAACTCACAAACACGCACTCGCTCTATATTACCATGTACATTCCGAGTTCCGTTCGCCTTCTCCAACAACAGAAACAACATTTCTGAGTCTTCGCCTCTCTCTCTCTCTCTCTCTCTCTCTCTCTCTCTAGCTCCCTTTCCTTTGCGTACTTCGTTCGCTTCTCTTGGAACACTTAAGTTATTAGCGCTACGACATACAAAAGATAAGGCCGCCACGATAATACACTGACTAGATCAGTTTCATTTGCTCTTCCTCTGTCTCTCTTGTTTTTTTCTCTCTTCCGGTTTAATTTGTCGCACTCTTAACTCTTTCTCTCTCTGTCGCACGATCTCTTTCAATCTATTATTCGCGGACAATCGTCCCGATTTCACGTCAACAAAAATATTCAGGACACGCGGTGTCATCTCTGTCAACAAAATATACTATGTTCTGCTTCCTCGCATCCTGAGTGGCTAAACTACGGCGCCGCGGACGCCACCGCGACGCTATACGGAAGTATCGATAACACCTCTTCATCGAAGCACAGCGTAGGCCCTGACGATTCATCGTGAATCCACTCGCGAATCTAACACGGTCGCGTAATACAAAAGAAGACGGCAGTACGGTTACTCGCGGGTATCGTTTTATCCTACATCGCCCTGAACTCTGTACGCCAATTCGGCGAGAATCAAGCTCCTCGGTGATTAATTCTACGCGAAGAGCCGCCACAAGCTCGGCAGACTGCGGATCCATTCGACCGAGTGTTCGTCTTTTCCAATGCAAGCGGGATTCGAATTATGTACCAAAGAAGATGTCATCGATCCGCAGTCCATCGCGAGCTTTCGATCAGTCGAATCTTAGAGCAGAAACTTTTTCGAACATGGCAACTGATTCTCCAGCCGAATGCGGCACAGAAGGGTCGAACTACGGTACAAAAGGACGCGAGAGGTCTCCGACGGGACATCTCGCCAGGCTGAATATTCGTGACTAAAAATCAAACTCCTTTTCCGGGTATTGCATGTATCATCGACGTCCGAATGTTCGCGGCTCAACGCAAGGTAACCGAGGGTGGCACGTTCTTAATAAGGCACAGCATTTTCTGCCATGAATATTCAGCCGAGTCGAGACGCACAGTTCTCGAACGCTTTGCGGCGCGGACCTTTCTGTGCTCGCATTCGTCCCTGTTCGTTCGATCGCGATTAACAAAGAGCAACGTCGCTACCATTACAAGATTGCCGTTTTCTCCTGTACGAGGTCGTATAGTTCTCGCGTGTCTGGTACACGACCCAGCAACACACACCTCCGACAATGTTCTCCGAGTCTAATGACGGGGTCAAGGGACGAAACAAGGCTAGGGCGGAGCAATTTAGGGCAACGAAAACCACTGTGACGCCGGGTGTTCAATGTGTCCGAGTCGAATTATCGGTGTATAATTCGTGTTCTCGTTCTTTCTCTCCCTCTCTCTTTCTCTATCTCTGGTTCGCGGCGATCGCCGAGAAGTCGGCCGACGTGGATTAGGACGGAGGTGGCTAAACTAGGAACTGCGAGGCACTGCGAAAAAGGTAAGAACAATGAGCAGCGTGTTTACTTTTCTTCTCTACCGGCATCCGGTTGCCGCAGTCTCCAAATCAAATTCTATATACGTATTGCTTTCGTCGATCCTCCCGAGGAACGGTCGGTTCGTCCTCGCCCGTGGAATACTTTAGTCGACACGTTCGTCACGCTGACGCCGATAGTGCGGCGCCCCGCCGTCAGATGTCGTGATCAGACGCCCCCGAGATCGCTAACCGGCATCCGGCGGACCGCAGTCCAAGGACCGACAAAAACGCCTCCGCCGACGGCTTCACCGACGCTTACGTCGCACGGATCAATAATGTATGTAGATTATCAAAAAACATCACAGTCAGGTTACTAGATTTTAGAGAGAAGCGTCTGCTGAATTCGTGGCTGACCGCGTCCACGCCGGACCCGAGGCTGAGCTCTGCTTAGGGGATGACGCCGGAGGTGTCGCCGACGCGATCGTCTCTCGAAGCTGGCTTACGGTTCGCGTCGGAGATCGTCGTGAAAATAAAAATTCTATCCCGATGCGCGACTTGAGACGACAAGACGCGCCCGAGTCCTAACCTCAAACGGGCTAACAGCTTGACCATCGTGTCACGAATTGAATCGACTAGCTCGAACCGTATGCTTCCGTCGATGTTAATTTAGTCGACGAGCTTCTTAAAATTTGCTCGCAATTCGCTGCGACACGGCTCGGAAATTAACTGCGCGTGACGGAGACAGAGTATTTCCGAAGACTGCTCTGAAATGCGCCGCGGAGTTGCATCGTACAGTCCCATTTGTGAGATCTCACTCGCAGCACATTTCAGAGCAGTCTCCGTCATGTACAGTTAATTCCGAGTCCTGCTCTACAAACAGCGACAAAGTACAATGAAATGTGATTTAAGATGTAGTAACACCGATGCAACAAGCAATACGCCAAAAGCAAAACAATGTCCCAATATGTTCCAGAGTCCACATCTCGGTGAGATATACTGAACGTAGAATAATAAAACTGTCTTTACGATCAAAATTGACCATAGTCTCGATTCTTTTACCCTGCTAGTCGCTTCACGAAGCACTGGCTACGATCGTCGCCGGGCACCACCCTAGTCCGCATCCCCTAAACAACCAAGTCCGGCGCGGACGCTCTAGTTCTTGGTTATCAGTTACTTTCGGTCGGTCCTTGTCTGCCGGCTCACCGGACACGGCGTTCCTTGGCAAGCCGCGCCAGATCCCCTTGTCTCGCGTAACCCAAACCGACACGGGTCCTCCGTCTGCTAGAGCTCGCGTATCTCCACGTGGGGGCCGCAAAGTCCCAAGGAACAGATCCCGCGGGTCGCGTATCACTTCTTGTCGAAGAGCGGCAGCTTGCTGCGCACGGCACCCTCGCAGACAACCAGCCTCTGGGCGGCGGAGATGCTGCAGAGAGGCCCGTGGCCCTCCAGGCTGGCCCTGAGGAGGGCGAGCCGGCTGCTGGAGCCGGCCTCGTGGTCCACCAGCCTCAGGCTGCCGGCCTGCTTCCTCTCGAAGTACTCGACGATCTTCGAGATGGTCTTGTTGGAAGAGCCTATGCCGCTCAGCCGATCCTCCCAGCAAGAGTCGCCGCCGCCCAGGCTGGCGATGTCCTCAGACGAGTCCGTGTAGATCGAGCTGGTCCGATGGTCGTCCAATAGGAACAGGCTGCTGGCCGCAGAACTGCTCAGGGTCGAGGTGTGCCGCCGATTCGGCGGCTCCGGGCTCAGGTCCTCGCCGACGCAGCTCCAGAACCCGGACTCGCAGCTGCCCCGTCTTCTCGGCTCCCAGCCGTCGCGGAAGAGCGGGTGCGTGAACAAACTGGCGGCGCCCACCTTCGTCGCTACCTGGAACCACGAGAAAGAGGGCACGTTGGATCTTCTATTTTCGAAGAGAACTAAAATAAAATGTTTCGTTCGATTAGAAGTGACCGGGGTTCTACGACTACGGTTGGACCTGGGTTATCCTAACCTCTAAGATATGAATTCTCTCGTCATCGTCGATCGGTGGCGGATAGCTCCTACGCTCGCCACCAGATGGCTAATGGGTCAACACCTCTCCCGCGACTACCTGTGATCCGTCACCGATCCGTATATATACCGTCCTTAACCGTCCACACGGTAGCACCGCGTCTAAACAGGGCCTGCTAGATAACCTCACCGACGAGTCATCCCGCCCTTTCCTTTCCTCCGCTCCTCCATCGTTTACGCAGCCGGTAAAGATCTAGGGCGATCCACACACAAAGCTGCTTATTGTACAAGTCAGTAAAGCATATTCGATCCGATACTGTAACCATGCAAATGTTTCCAGTATCCGAACACATTATTATGTCTCCTCGAGCAATTCGGGCGACGGAAGCAGCTTCCAACATCTAGGGTAAATGTGGGTATTTATTAATGCGGACGCCCAAAATACTATGGTATTTAATGAAAGTGATAAAATATAATTTTCTAAGAATGAATCTCATCGTTTTTGTATGTTCAATATTAATAATGTATGACATACAACAGCAATAATTAACAGCAATAATTTATATATTGACCTTTGATATTCGGAAACTTATGAAAACGTTGGATCTTATGTATAATTAATAAGGAACTATTCATTTTAGTGTTATTTTTAGATAAATTGCATCATGTATCCTCAAGTATTATTTACTAATACAGTACTTATTTGGCGCATAGTTTTTTAGTATGCGTGTACATTACCGCGGCACTTGACCGAACTGCATACCTTAACCTATACAGTGCGGTTCTCGATACGCCGATGCGAACGCGCTTGATCACAGAGTATGTATCTATACCTAATTTTGTAAAATGCTGCAGTGAGAATATCTTGATCCTATGAATTGTAGCTGTGTGTGTACATTTAAAAGAAAATGAGAAAAGTACAAAGAAAGAAGTCAAAGAAAAGAGAACAGAAATATCAAGCGATATAAAGAAAATGAAAAATATAAGGTTATGCTGCCCTAAGGAAAACATGGCGTTAGCCTTGCAAGAAATTCGTGGAGGAAACTCTATTGCACAAATATCTCGAAAATATAACATTCCACAGTAACGCGCGGAATGCTCACAGTATTTGACATGCGGTAATCGGAACGTCCGCAGTACTTGGCTCGCAGTAATGGATACATAACCGCAGTAATATATGCACACGTATACAGTAATGTATGCACCTTCATATTACGCTGTTTAATGAAATTTGTGCTTTCAGGGATCCAATATTTTGAGAAAAGTAAACGTTCAAGTTGAAGAATAGTAGGTACAGCTCAAAGTTCAGTTTCATTTTTAAACCGCAATAATACCTACACTTACCCTATTATATCTTTAAAGGAACTGGCGAATTAATCTACGAATGGGACATATCTCGGCATCGCCGAGAGAAAGCCGTGAAATGAGAGGCGGCCGCCTGAATGGAAGAGCGAAGCGGCCGATCGCTGATCAGGAAAGTTCGGGGGCACCTTCGGACCCTCCGAACGGTCGTTACGATTCGAAAACGTCCAACGGACTGCTGAGAGGCTGCTGCCCGCTGCTCACTTCGTTCCACGTTTCATCGACTCTCCCGTTATGCAACCCGTCTGCCACGCTCTCGGCGACCGACCGGCATTAGCTTGCCCGAGGGTCACTTCCTTGACCGTGAACCAGGCAACAGTCCCACTGTTACCTCACGCCAGCTGGCATCTTGGTTAGAGGTAGGTCGAGGGCTCGCGTAGGTTCGCGATCTCTTCGCGTTCAAGGCCGCCGTTCGAAGAGACGTTCTCGGCGCTAGAGAACCGACTCCCAGAGACGATTCTCTTAAGGGGTCTTTGAACCGCTCGGAGCGGTGGACAATAAGCGGTTATGGTCTGGTTCTCGACCGGTCGCTTTTGGCAGCTGCCAGCGAACGGTGTACGCCGTTTTGAGAGACGGAAACGGCGGACGCCTGGCGTTTAGGCGGAAAATGAGGCCGGTTCGGGGTCCGAAAGAAGATGCGGGGGAACGATGGACGATCGCGAGAACGCTGCTGCATGGTTACTATTGTTCAAAAGCATCTTTCCGGGTATACAGTGGTCAATGTATATTTAAGAACTGCTTGATATTATGTATTATTATTATTAGACCGCGGATCTTTATGCAAAATAAATATTCTAATCATCGCTCACATCAAACAGAAATGAGATAAAAACGTGTTTCTTCGTTTAACGATGTTAGTATAGTGAAAGCAGTGCTGCGGTATTTCTAAATTTATTTCTTGTTTTCGCTGTTCTGTGTTTCGTTCATTCATTTTCTAAACCGAAAAAAAAACAAGAAAAACCGCGGTCTAATTATTACACACGATGGTAATATACAGGGTGGGGCATTTGAAACAAGATTGTTTTTGATAATAGAATAAAAAGTGTCAGACAAAAGTTGTTTGATTTCGAGGGGCACATTATATGATGCCAGTAACGTTTTTACAGATGAAGGTATAGAGGACATATGAAGGTCAAACATGTTTTTTTTTAAATGGGATGACCTAATTTTGTATTCACATTCCGATAGAGCCTTTCAAGACGAATACAATGGTCTGTAAATGAAGGCCATTCAAGATCACAACATATGAAGTACAATGAAAAATCAATTCTTCCAATGCTTCTTTCTGTTGTCAAAAAGAAGCAAGTTATTCAGGTGACTTGTTTCAAATGACCCACCCTGTATAGCTGCACATGGTTGTACATAATTATACATATATAGGGTGGGTCAGTTGATATGTCAAATGTCTCGAGAACAATATATATTTATATTCTTAGCGATATCAAGGTCATCTCATGTTTATACACAGGACCACCGCTTTTCAAAGACCTACGACGATACTACTCTCCGTTAAAGCATTCCAGTAACAGTATAGCGAACGTGTACATTACTATATCATGCCTTATACGCGCGACAAGTCTCAATTATAACGAGCCGCGGTGTAGTAATCGTCAAGGTCACACAAGGTCGAAAGCAGAGAAATCGTTCGGAAACACTTCTGCATCATAACCGGCCGCGGCTGGCAAGACATTCAGCCGATCGATAACGATAATAAACACGCGAAGCGGCTTTGCGAGCGGCAGGCGATCCCGTCTCATGTTACCAAAACAAAACAAAAAACGACTAAGCCCCGGCGGTCGTTAAGGATCGCCGTTTCGAGATCCGCTTTCGTTTACATACAGCAGCGTTCTTTAATCCCAAGCATCGGACCAATAAAGCACGGTGATTTCTATTCCGAGGGAACAATTCGCGGCGATCGGAGTCACGGAGCCGCGGCGTTCTTACCTTTCTCTCCCACTTCTTCCTGGCGGTGGGACTGCTCGGCTCCGAGTTCGGCTTCTTCCTGTCCAAGATCTTCGCGATACTGTCGTTCGGGGCTGGCTTGAACTTGCCGATAGCATCGGTGACGCTCGGCCGGACGTCCTCCAGCGAGGGCAGCTCCAGGCAGCTGGAGAACAGGTCGCCGAGGATCTTCTTGACACCGCCGAGCGCGTGGAACGGGTTCGCGGTCATCGGCTTGTAGTGAGGGTCCCTTCTGCTGGCCAGCTCGGCTACCCGCCGCGCCGAATGGCATCTCGCTTTGTCCGAGGGCGTCGCGTTGTCACAGCCCCGCGCGTCCGCCGACTGACTCCTCAAGCGGGCGGTTCTCCGCCTCGCCGGCCGTCCCTCCCGCGTGATCTCGTCCATCGACGACATCAGCGTCGGGTCGACCGACGGGCACTTGCCGATGCTGCTTTTCGACTCCTCCTCGCCGTTCGCGATCATGCTGTCCAGGCGGGACGTGATCTCCGGGAACGTCGGCCGAGATTTCGGCTCGTACTGAAAACATCCGCATTTTGTAATGATTTTTCGGCGGTCTTGCAAATGGCGCTGTACGGATAAATTTACATGGATTCGCGATGCGAGGATTTATAAGGAGTAATTATTTATATTAATTAGTTATTTATTATTATTATTTGTAAGGATTAATTTTTTCGAATTAATTTTTCGAATACGATTTTATTCGAGCTATCTTTCGAATAAATTCTTTGAATACAATTTTATTCGAGTGATCTTTCGAATAAATTCTTCGAATACGATTATATTCGAGTGATCTTTCGAGTAAATTCTTCGAATACTATTTTATTCTGACAATATTTCGAATAAATTCTTCGAATAAAATTTTGTTGAGTCAATATTTTAAATAAATACATCGAATAATATTTTATTCAGTCAACATTTCGAATAAATTCATCGATTAAAATTTTATTCGACTAATCATTCGAATATATTCTTCGAATACAATTTTATTCAGTCAACATTTCGAATATATTCTTGGAATAAAATTTTGTGCAGTTAATATTTTGAATAAATTCTTCGAATTAAATTTTATTCTCTCTCAGTCAACATTTCGAATAAATTTCTCAAATGAAATTTCATTCGGACAAAACACTTCGAATAAATTCGTCGAATCAAATTCGATTCGAACAACATTTCTCAATACCACATTACGAACATTTTTGCCTTCAGCTATTTTAATTTCGTCAACGTTTTAATAATAAATAATTCAATGATAAATATTAAATCGACGTTTAATATTTCTGTCAATGTGACACTGTAACATCTGTCACAGTAAAAATAAAATCGTTCTCCAACTCTCCGTTCATCGGTAACGAGAAAGCTCTCCGTCATCGTGACACATACCGAATATTACTCAACGAATGGTACTATAGCGGTATTAAGTAACTAATCCAGTGAAATGGATACGCTGCATACGTGTGCGTAACGTTTGATTGAATAGAGTCGACAGGCCTAACGAACAGGAACGGGAGCGAACGAGACGTGAAGAGGTACCAAAAAAACAAACCAAAAGGAAAACCGTGCGAGTCTCTGTCGAAATTAAAATTAATTGCTAGGATGATTGCAGCGTGACTGGAGCTGTCGCTGAGAGTGCGAGATGGGTCGATACGAAACGGGAGTGCGGGCTGTTTCTTGGCCACTGCAAGCGACACTCGAGCTTAGCTTTTCGAGAAATAATTTTTTTCTTCGTTTTTTTCAAGAAATAATAATAACCCGGGTAGGGGTTCGGTAGCGTAATAAAAAACAGACTAAAGAAAATAAAAAGGGGATCTAACGCTTGCCGGAATTGTCAGTTTCATCAAGATGGTTGACAAACGCACGTAAGATAATTCGTTTATGCGGGCCGAGCTACGAAATATCGCGTCCGCGTTCCCGGGAAGCCGTATCGGTAGAGATTAAAAGTGCCATAACAGGCGAGAACCTTTATCATCGTGCGCAACAATCGGTAATCGAATCGCTGTTGATACGTATCCTCGATGACTGTTTCAACACACTTCGTACTATGGCCGGGTTCTTTCGGACCCAGAGCTCGAGACCTGGCAACACTTAACACCGTTCGGCATTCATTAAAAAAAAAAGTACGGGAAGATAATAGAAATGTAGAAAATTTTCTCCCTAATTGACGCTGTGATTGTGATGCGGTTCGTTTTTATAGTTATCGATTTCAACAACTATTAAAACGAGCCGCAAGGGTCGAATAATCGTATCTCCTCTTCCCAAATTGTCCATTTTTGTGTACAATCTGAGCGTCAATCAGGAATATACTGTAAACTTTTCTTTGGGGGTTTCTAGGTTTTTGACTTTCCAGCGTATACTCCAATGGATTTTGTCGAGAAAAGTCCAGAAATCGAAGTCCCGCGCGAATCTAGGAATGTAATTAAAATAAGTCCTGAATACACTTGTAAGAAAGTTATGCGCGTCCAAAGTTGACGAATTTCCAATGTTTTTGACAGGTTAGCGCGCCATATTGATGCGTGCTCGGTCCACAGACGTAGTTTAATGAGCGTCACCGCTAGATGGTAGCATGCGTAGAACAGGTAGATGGCAGTACAGGTATGCAACATCGGTCATTTAAGATTCATTCCGATATGCAATGGATTATAAAAACATTATAAAAAGGTTATGTTGTCAAGGCNCTTCGAATAAAATTTTGTTGAGTCAATATTTTAAATAAATACATCGAATAATATTTTATTCAGTCAACATTTCGAATAAATTCATCGATTAAAATTTTATTCGACTAATCATTCGAATATATTCTTCGAATACAATTTTATTCAGTCAACATTTCGAATATATTCTTGGAATAAAATTTTGTGCAGTTAATATTTTGAATAAATTCTTCGAATTAAATTTTATTCTCTCTCAGTCAACATTTCGAATAAATTTCTCAAATGAAATTTCATTCGGACAAAACACTTCGAATAAATTCGTCGAATCAAATTCGATTCGAACAACATTTCTCAATACCACATTACGAACATTTTTGCCTTCAGCTATTTTAATTTCGTCAACGTTTTAATAATAAATAATTCAATGATAAATATTAAATCGACGTTTAATATTTCTGTCAATGTGACACTGTAACATCTGTCACAGTAAAAATAAAATCGTTCTCCAACTCTCCGTTCATCGGTAACGAGAAAGCTCTCCGTCATCGTGACACATACCGAATATTACTCAACGAATGGTACTATAGCGGTATTAAGTAACTAATCCAGTGAAATGGATACGCTGCATACGTGTGCGTAACGTTTGATTGAATAGAGTCGACAGGCCTAACGAACAGGAACGGGAGCGAACGAGACGTGAAGAGGTACCAAAAAAACAAACCAAAAGGAAAACCGTGCGAGTCTCTGTCGAAATTAAAATTAATTGCTAGGATGATTGCAGCGTGACTGGAGCTGTCGCTGAGAGTGCGAGATGGGTCGATACGAAACGGGAGTGCGGGCTGTTTCTTGGCCACTGCAAGCGACACTCGAGCTTAGCTTTTCGAGAAATAATTTTTTTCTTCGTTTTTTTCAAGAAATAATAATAACCCGGGTAGGGGTTCGGTAGCGTAATAAAAAACAGACTAAAGAAAATAAAAAGGGGATCTAACGCTTGCCGGAATTGTCAGTTTCATCAAGATGGTTGACAAACGCACGTAAGATAATTCGTTTATGCGGGCCGAGCTACGAAATATCGCGTCCGCGTTCCCGGGAAGCCGTATCGGTAGAGATTAAAAGTGCCATAACAGGCGAGAACCTTTATCATCGTGCGCAACAATCGGTAATCGAATCGCTGTTGATACGTATCCTCGATGACTGTTTCAACACACTTCGTACTATGGCCGGGTTCTTTCGGACCCAGAGCTCGAGACCTGGCAACACTTAACACCGTTCGGCATTCATTAAAAAAAAAAGTACGGGAAGATAATAGAAATGTAGAAAATTTTCTCCCTAATTGACGCTGTGATTGTGATGCGGTTCGTTTTTATAGTTATCGATTTCAACAACTATTAAAACGAGCCGCAAGGGTCGAATAATCGTATCTCCTCTTCCCAAATTGTCCATTTTTGTGTACAATCTGAGCGTCAATCAGGAATATACTGTAAACTTTTCTTTGGGGGTTTCTAGGTTTTTGACTTTCCAGCGTATACTCCAATGGATTTTGTCGAGAAAAGTCCAGAAATCGAAGTCCCGCGCGAATCTAGGAATGTAATTAAAATAAGTCCTGAATACACTTGTAAGAAAGTTATGCGCGTCCAAAGTTGACGAATTTCCAATGTTTTTGACAGGTTAGCGCGCCATATTGATGCGTGCTCGGTCCACAGACGTAGTTTAATGAGCGTCACCGCTAGATGGTAGCATGCGTAGAACAGGTAGATGGCAGTACAGGTATGCAACATCGGTCATTTAAGATTCATTCCGATATGCAATGGATTATAAAAACATTATAAAAAGGTTATGTTGTCAAGGCTACGTCAAGATTGTATATGTCTAAATTCCTAGATTCAAGACTTCGGTTTTTGGATTTTTCCAGATCCATTAGAAATCAGATTAAAATCCGTTAGAATGTACATTAGAAAGTCAAACAAATAGAAACTCCCAAGGAAAAGTTAAATCGAAATAATAATCATAATAATAATAATAATAGCAATGACGATAATGACAACAAAATTTCAGGTGAAAATATTTGTATACATAAAAAACAAAACACGGGACTTCACGTGAACGTCGAACCGCCGGTACTGCGAGGGTTGAACTTTTCCTCTCCGTTGCTGCGGCGGAACGCGCCTTCAGAAAACGGACTTTCACGTAAATTTGCAACGCGATTGTAATTTTACGGCAGGTGTTCTTGCGTCAACTCTAATCTAGAGGTATGGGAGCACTTCAGGGAGCAGTGACCAGCATTTTGTTACGCTCTGTATGTCTCGTTTCTTGCCCATGTTATGTAAGAAGGTTAGAGGTGAGCGGAACATGTATCGCGGATAGCAGCAGAAATAGGGAAATGACCAGGGAAGCATCGTCGCTTCAATCGATAATATACAGTTGACAACTTCCCGCTTTTTCCAACATTGTGGGTTACGCGAGTTATAGTCGAAAATCTGGCATGATGCGATTCCTCGTGCAAAAAGAAATAAACAACAAGGAGTATAATTTTGTCGTCGGATGCTCCGTTTTCAAGAAAAACGAGTCCGAAGACTGATTAAACTTATGCCCACGGCATCAGTTGCACCCACGGCCACACCTGTGACTTTCGTCATGCCCATGGCCGTAGCTACGCTCACGGCCGTAGCCACGCCTTCAGCCACGCCCACGGGCTCAGCCACGCCCAGTGGCGTCACTCGCGTCCAATGCGACTTCTAGGCCGATTATCTCTGAACCGTGCTATTATACAAGAAAATTGCACTGTACACTTATCGTTTAATTTGGCACGAGCAATCACCTGATACTACGCTCGTGCCATACTTTTGGTCACTGCTTTTATTCGTTAATGACAAAATCTCGAACAACTATAGTCTGACAAAAAACCAAACTATTTTCTCTGTCTAGAAAGAACGCGACCGTGTCGATGCTACAGTAGACAACTCACCGTGCAGCAGTTGAAGGCAAGATGCAGGAAGTCCGTTGGCGGGTTAGCGGCAGCGCAGATCTCCGCCACGGCAAGGTAATCAAGACCGAAGTTGTCGGAGCGTGGCAGGACATCGGGATCGGCGGGCACCCGGCCGATCAGCTCGCATACGACGATGCCGAATGAGAACACGTCGGACCTGTGGTCGTACCATTGTCCCTTGAGGCACTCCGGCGACATCCAATAGGGGCTGCCGACGGTGCTCAGCCTGTAACCGGTGCTTGGATCGGGTATCTTCGCGGCAAGGCCGAAGTCGCCGACCACGGCGGTCATCTCCGCGGTGCCGTCGTCCTTCTTGATCAGGACGTTTTTGGAGGTGAGGTCGCGGTGGAAGAGTCCGCGGCTGTGCAGGTAGGCCATGCCCCTCGCCACGTCCCTAGCCAGGTTCATCCTGACCAGGTGGGGCAGTGGCGTATGCCTGGCCATGATCAGCTGCTCCAGGCTGCCGCCGTTTATGTACTCCGTCAGCGCGTGCAGCTGACCCTCGTGCACGCACACTCCCATGAACCTGGAAGCAACCGTCGAGCTCTCTCAGAATCGGCCGATGCGGGAACAGGAGACAGCGCGAACGGGAAGACGAGCTACGCGAGGAGTGGGGATGGGCGACGCATGCGTAGAGAGTCCCACGCAGCGGCGTCGCGCGAACGTTACAATTCTGAACTGCGATCGGGCAGAGGACTTACGTTGCGTCGCGTTCACGCCACTAACGCATGCTTCTAGCTAGAGATGGCGCCACTAGATCGTGATTTTTTTTGTTTTGACTGAATTTACTGCACACGATTATATTTGCGATTTATATCATATGCTTCATTTGATCTTGGATCTTGAGTGATTAAATATTTGCTATTATAAAATGCTTTTATACGAAAATTTGCTTGCAAGAAAATCCTTTCGAATTGAAAATGAAAACTGAGTTTTGCTGAGTTTTGCTCTCCTTATACCATCACAACCTTTGAACAAGTAAAATTAACTCTTCGCCTCGATTTCACAACAATAACGTAATAAATGTACATTTAAACAGTGCATAAAAGTGCAAACAATTTCATTTGTATAATACGTGCATACATAAATGCTGTTTAAATCAATAGAAAGAAGAAATTTCAAAACTATGATTTCCCTACAACTAAAAAATATTCCATACAGTATGTAGCATTGTTCAAGTCCATGATTGCACACGCTTCATAATTGCATCTCCTAGATTTACAAGAATCACGTCCCTACGGATTCATAAAAATTGGAGGTGGCAACACCGCGTCCGCGGAATAACCTCCATTACAGTCTAATCCGGGGGGCTGCCTAGCGTCTTCCCCGATGCGCGATTATTAACGCTGTTGTTATTATTCTAATTGCCGTTCTCCGCGCTGGTTGCGAGACTCTTCTCCTCTCTGCTTTCCTTCTTCGCCCCCAATCCCTGGATCCCATTACCGAGTCGGTGCACTGCACCGAGCCGAAGCCGAGCCGCATGGTTCCCGCGTAATTGAGGGTAGAGGATCCCGATGCCCTTTCAAGGAATAAATCTTGGCAGGCTCGTCGGGCTAACTGCGCGTGCAGAGCGCAACTATTACTAGAATTACCCTATCTAGACGGTTGCCGATCCGCCGGGTCAAACTTCGGGAGGTTATTACACCCGCTCCGCTTTTCTGCTACAGGATCGTCTACAAGGTGGCTCAACAAGAACCGACAGGTTGGGTTCGGTGGAAGCATTATCAACGATGATAGACGATGTCGAAAGTGGGGATTGAATTGTGCAGCGAGCCCACTGAAAGCCTTAATAAAAATATACATGATGTCTCAAAAGTTAGTCATAATCGGGAAAAGGGGGTTCCTGAGGTGATTTTAAGTAACTTTTTCCTTTGCGCAAATGCAATCCGCAGCTTTGTTTACGAATTATTAACGAAAAACGCGGGCCAATCGGAGCGCGCGCGCGGCCGACGTTCCGCCCTCGCGGCCAATGACGCGACGCGCCGGCCGTCTGACGCAGCGGCAGTGGACGCGAGAGCGGGACGTCAGCCGTACGCGATCTCTCATTGATTAGTGTTTTTCGTCAATAACTCGTAAACGAAGCCGCAGATTGCATTTGCGCTAAGGGAAAAGATACTTCAAATGACTTCAGGAACTACAAAATCAGCTAGATCATGCATTTGGATCCCTTTCGAATCGCTGTAACAAGTGTATCGAAGCAAGAGAAGATTATTTTGAATAAAACAATGTAAAATTTTGTGTATTTTCTTTCTATCGTATTTTATTGATACGGAATTAAAATTTAATTGTTGCACTGTGTATATTATATTACTATAACAAAAATCAAAAGTTATTTACACATTGGACACCCAGTTCACTAAAATCCGCACCATCATCTAATTTCCAATTTTATGGCAGTCATACGTAATTATTGACTATTTAATATTGAAACTAATAAAACGATTCATTTTGGTCTGAACAAAGAGATTACAATACAAATGAAAGTTAATCGTGAAGATGTAAAAAATATCTATCGTCCAAAGGTTAACTCGCCCGCTACAAAATAAATCCCGACAGTCTCGACCCATCGAGAGAATCAGCTTCACAATCACTTCCTCGAGCTAACGAACCAAGGCAAACGTTACTCTTCAAACCATAAACAACTTTCCCGGCGAGAATTGCTTAGCCAAATGACTTTCTCCGCGACTTAATTACCGGGACACCCGGTACGTGACCGCGGCGGCAGCCTAAATATGAGATCCGGAGCGCGGACGGCCCGGCGAAAATCTGCTCGATCGGGGATCGGCGGGCCGGGTCGTCAGCACGTCCTTCGGCGGGTCGATCGAATCACCGGACACGTAAACGCGAGGCGTTAAAAGGCAAAGTGTGCTCGGGGGAGGAGTGGGAGGAGGAGAGTTTAATTGCCAGGCAAGTCGCGGCCGACGGTTCGCCTTGCCAATCCGCGCACGAACGGCGATGTTGTGTTTCGCTCGTTACTCATCTTTCCCAATAAAGGCCCCGCGACCTTCGTGTTCCGGCTCCGAGGACAGCCGCAGGACCGAAGGTCTTCGACCCAGAATGCCGCGCGCCGGCACGAGCCACCGCGCCGGACAAAAGAGCCACGAATAAAAAGCCGCCGATAGCGCCCGGGTCAACGATTGTCTTCCATTGTCGGCCGGCCGATGAAAGCGGCCGATGGACAATGTATATTTTCGTGGCTGCGGTCGGATGCGATCGAATCGTGGAGAGAGCGGCAGAGAAAGAGAGAGTGATCGAGAGGAGAGATATAAAACTGACAGAAAATGAAATAACATATATATAATGAATGTAATTTCATTTTAATTTAATTTTATTTCATTTTAATATCACTTAATATTTATTTCCACGAAAGCAAAACAAAAGACTTCGTCGAGTATATAAGATTTCGAAATAAAGTTGAAGCATCTCCTAAAATGGTAGAACCTAACCTAACAATCCTACGGTATTGGGAACACTGCCTGTACCTGACAATGAAACAGCAGTTCTAAAAGTTTGGTAGCTATTAGAAAAAAGTTACGATCTCACGCGATTAATATATTTATTTACTGTATATTTCTTCATAAATAGAACAAAACGAAAGACTTCGTCGAGTATGAGATTTCAAAACAAAGTCAAACCGTCTATTCGAATGCTAGAATTTAACCTAACAATCCTACGATATTGACAACACTGCTTGCACTATTATTGACACTTTGCACTCGCATGTCTCCTCTCAGGGGAGGAAACTGTTGTGATAATTATAGCACCTTTAAAATTAACAATTTTTATCTCCTACATCGGAACAATGTTTCATCAAATTTCATGTAAACCGTGCAATTATTTATAATGCTCCATCATTGTATATTTTCTTGAAAACATTAACTTACTACTTCGCCGAAAATATGTTCGATTTTATGGTTAGGTGATCCAAGAAAATTCTCCTAGTGCAAAAGATACATATAATTGGCAACACTAGCCCAGCAATCGTTACGAATGTTCATAGTCGACACACGGTTGAAAAATACTCGACGAATACGAAAAAGGACGAATTGCTGAAATGTTGGCTGAAACCAATACATCAACAAAAGAAAGCCGAGCGAAATTTCTGAATTCCAGAAATATTCGAAGCCGCCACATCAACGAAAGAACGCCGAGCGATATTTCTTCGACTGCTGGAGCTAACCTCAAAAATGTCGCAAAATTAAATAACGCGAGTTCAGTGTAAATAAAGATGAAAAATGTTAAATGCGTGACGGTGATTGCGTTTTCAATCTTGCGAAAATAGTGTGAAAATTCGCTTTTTCAATCGGCAAATAATTCCGTCGATGGCACGTGGGTGACACGCCGGCGAAAGTGTAGGGAAAAAACGAGAGTGTCCGACGTAGATGGCAGATGGTCGGGAAAATATACGGGCTCGCGTGATTGTTTGAGTTCAAAGGATGCAAGTCCGCGGGCAGTTTATTTCAAAAGACCAAGGGTCACCTTCTCTAACGTCTCGGTGCGGTGTTTCTGGCCGTTTAACACGTTTCCACGAACGTGTTCGCGCGCGCACCGGTCGCTTAGACCCTCGTTAAACTTATTAGCATCGGTTGCCTAACGCGAACCTGCTGACCGACTAATTTGTACACGGCAATGCCCGCAGAGACGGCGTTAACAATAACAATGGCGGAGAGCGTCTTCATTGCAGGAATTCGCACAGAATTCGACGAAAAGATGGCTCAAAATTATAGAATATTATAAACAGACTGTGGATTTTATCAATAGATTTTTATTTGGAACCTAACCCAGAGACCTGAACTAGATCTAATCCAATGAAGTAGCAATATCCAAGGGCTGGGAAAAAATTGATTTTTGAAATAGTAAACATACATATTTTTATCTCATGTAATTTGGCAAATAAACTTTTTTATTATATTAATGCAATAATAAATATATACTAAATAAAATAAATATAAATATATAATAATAAACATATACTAAATAAAATAAATATAAATATATAATAATAAATATGTATTAAATAAAATAAATATAAATATATAATAATAAATATATTTGAAATGCTATTGCCATACGTGACTACTGTTCCAAAAACATTGTCAAAATATAATCTGCCAAATATTATATTACACGAGAAGATACAAATATTTATAGTCCACTTACTGTTTCAAAAATCTATCTTTCCCCCAACCCCGCTAGAAACCAAAAACTGATTGAGAAGGACACGACGCTCGTTCCTCGGATTTCGATGCTCGATAAGGCAAGAGTCGTCGTAAATCACCGACGATCCGGGCGAAACAGTCCGATAAGGGGGTGCCTGGAATCGGGACAAACGAACGACAACGCCGATTGCCGACAAGAGCTGGCTGCTAATTGGTAGTTATCGGGACGCGGGGTCGTCGCGTTAAAGGGCAATAATGGGACAAACGAAGCCGAACTTTGCCCCGAACGCGACCAGCCACCTGCGGAGCTATCTAATCTTCCAGATCGCCGCAGAGTCGGGGCTCCGACTGTATCCTGTGAAACGCT